CCTGTGGGCAAAGGGTTTTACAGGAATGATATATATGGCATGATAAGAACGTATCATAGAAATTTTTATGACGTACGGAGTATAGGTATCTTGGTGAAATTTTATTTTCAAAATTCTTAAGACCTTATTCAAGATTACTGATTGTTCATTTTCTATATCGCGACGTTTCTTTCGGATTTGTCAGAACGCAGAGTCTACGTGGAAATTCGTAAAGGACGAATCTCGGAGATAAGTGAAGGCTGCTTATCGTTTACCTGCACTGTATAATTTGAAAACGGTATCAGGGCTGTAATGTAATTGGCGGGACCCCTCCTAACTGCTACCGGGTAGCAATTTAGCTGGGAGCTGGGGGTTCGTGGTAAGCACAGTCTCATCGACCATGCGACGTTGGGAAATTTCTCGGGCCCCGAGGACGTGACCAGACCCCAACGTACAGTCTCGAACGGCCCGAAATGGACCCACCAGGACGCTACAGACGTGGCAACGAGGGACAGATGGTAGGCCCCATGGCTCTCAGTGATCTCCAACTCGCCCTCGTTTCATTCGTAGGGATGCATTTGTGCACTCGTTAACTCAGTGATCTCCAACTCGTACTCCTTTTTTACCGCAGCATCCGACAGGGATGCAGATCCATTCAGGAGGTCAGTTCTTGCGGAAACGTGACTGTAGATCTTCGTACACAAATGGTATCACTGAACGCTCCGTGCCATTCTTCTCTCAGGACCACCAGCATCCATTGACTAGATAACCCTACGAGAGAAGTCACCGTGCTGCCACATTTTAAACACAGTCTCTTTCTTCGAATCGTTAAACTCACAGCCACAAATGGCCAGGTTCGGAACAGCCTTCTTAATGTCTTCATATTTCAGTCGCATAATGCTCATAATGCTGACCCTGTACAAAAATGGGACAGTCTCCTTATTCTTGTAGAAATTCTAAAGGGAGAAGAGTGAGAGAGAGGAGGAACAGCGGGCAGCTGTCTGTGCATATAAACACTGACAAAGCTCGTGCCCAATTCTCTCTTTCTCTTTCTTTCTCATAGAAATAGCTGGGTCGAGTCAAGAAACACATGGCAGCCAATTGTCAGCGCACGTGGTCCGCCGAAGTCATACGTCTTTGCAAACCTCCTGTCCCGTAAGACGCGCTACGAAATTGCTTACTCCTTCACCTTTCTCATAAAATTTTCCATCAAATTAATCTAATTAAAGCCAATCGACAAATCTCATTATTTACTTTCCAAAAATCAACCCGCCTCCAAACAAATTAGTCTTCTCCGGATTGCTACGGTTATCGATGTCTCAAGTTTCAGAATGACAAGGTCGTCCCTCCGCAGCACTAAATATCCTCTTTCCACTTTAAAGCCACCATCCGACCTGTTTATACAGCCGTGTCAGAGTGAAAAGCAGTAAATTAAACTCATTCGAATTTACGCGCGGAATCGGTCTACTGACGACTTTAACGAGCTCGCCGACTTCAGGGATTGCGTTAAAATTCATTATGAGACTTTACGAAGATACAATTACCCTCGCTATACTATAAGATCTAAAATTGACTCTTAAACGGATCACTTTATAACAGGAGGATCAATTGTTACCAAAAAAAAGTACCAGAAAAATTTTATATTTTTTTTTATTAAAAAAATGTAAAAAAAAACATTGCTCTAGACAGATATGAATTAATCATTATTCTCCATATTCATAGCGCGTCATTCGTACCTCGATGATCGATTGAGTAAACAGATGACTAATCTAATCAATAATAGTATCACGGTTACGATGCTTTCTATATGATCTATATATTTTATTCATTGACCTTATTCTCTTTGGATTCCTCATTGTCTGTCCGTGACGTCACTCATTCACTCTTTATGATATATTACAACGCTCTCCCTCATCAACAAGGTGGACATACCCTATCACAGACGACTTCTTACGAGTCCATGTATACGATAAGCGAACCTGTACCGATATATCTTTCTCCATGACTCCTCAGCAAAGACGCAACCATTCGTCTTCATAGAAATACACGTACCCATTGGTTCGAACGTTTCAAAATCTTTTCTCTCGCATCGAAGCAAGAAAGGCGTTCGTTTGCTTCTTGAAATTCTCAACGTATGACGCTCGCTCTTCTTTCTCCTCTCTCGAGCAGAATATGAGAGAAGGTTCACTGAGAGGATATGAGAAGAAGATGGTGGGCAGGAAAGAGTCCGAACGTGTACGATGCCGCAGTCTATTCGAGGCTTTAGTATTTTTAGCGTAACTTCTCAAGTGTCTGGCTGTTCATATACCTTGTGACGTGGCATTTCGACATGCACGCCACAAAATGTAACATTCTGCGATTTCCGGCTGCATCGTGGGGCCCTATGCGTGGGGAAGGGATTTCGTGGCGTTGGACTGTATATTATTTGTTGAATTTGTATTTTTTCCCTCGTGGGAACGTTTTTTTGGTGTTTTATATTTTTCAAGCGGATCCGAAAGGATCTTGTCAAAATTTGACTACTGCGGGCCCCGAGAGTGCCAATCACGGGCCTGGTGGAGCGCGCTGGCGAGGCGACGCGACAGTCAGACCGGAGCACACACCCTAAGATGCCAGCTTCGGGGAACATTCGGCGAGCGTCTCCCCGATCCAGAGGGCATACGGAAGTTGCAGGAACGGCCTGGAGCCGTCCATCGAGGGAGCAGAGGTTGATGTGATTCCCACCTCCCGAAAATATCACTGCAGCCATCCCAAACACGAAAGATGCCAGGATCTACTTTATCGGAATCGAAGAAAACAATTGAAGATCGCGAGCGTTCTGGCGAAGTCGATGGATCCGCCAATCAGCTTGGCCTAAGGGATGTATTACAGCGCGCCTCTTGGGAAGGTCCCCGATTTTCGAAATCCTTAGCGTCACTCACGGTGTGGCCGAGCCTAGGAAAAGACGTGCTTTCGTCTGATAAACTTTGTATAGTCTCTTATTGTTTAGTTCTAGCTTTGACGGATTTTTATAGTATTGTATAGTCTACCGTGCCGTTTTGCGACCGCTTGAGGAACCCAGTATCAAAGATATTGTGTCTTGGGGATATCTGGAGCGATTAAGAGGGCGGTGAGTGACGCTTTTGTGAGTTGACCATATTTACGTGAATGAGAGATAGACCGTGACGCAGTGTCGTGCCTTACGCATTCCCGATCATTATTGTATCCGCGGATTGCTCATCGGTGGCGCTCTGGAGGATCAGTGCTATTTAATATCGTTGATGGGTCAAATGTTGGTTTTGCGTTACCGCCGATACAGTCCACGCCTCGCGGAGTCATTTCCTTAGCGCAAGGGTATCGTGAGTCCGTTAGCACTCGTTAATGTTAAATTCTGTATAATATCCTTTTGCTTGTATATTCTGTGAGGAATATGGTATAGCGTGTACTTCCGTATAATATGAAGTACGATGTATATTTTTGTAGAATATTAAGGTCCTGTAAATTTGTAGATATTAGTTTGCCAATAGGTCTTCGGGACCGACAGCTTAAATAATTCCCTTGGGGGATCTACGGTCCGTTCTGCGTAAAGCGTGTCTATTTTGTATAGGAACCGTTGTTCCATTTCTTTCTCTTGTGTATTTTGTTCAGGAACCGTTGCTCCATCTCTTTTTCTTATTGTATTGAATAAATCGGGCCAGAGTGTGGTTCCGTATTTAATTTTGAAAATTTTATTGTTTGTTCGTTGTAGTTTTTGAGAGTGAACCCCCCTAGATTTCAGATTGCGTTTATAAGAGCTGGCCAGGGCGTCCTTAGGAGACAGCGATGTAACTCTGGTTATACCTGGCGCCCAATAATTTAGTATTTTATTAATTATTTCTCGCGGTGCCATTTGTTTGTGCGTCACCGTTAAAAAGTGTCGTCACAACCTATATGCCTACAGTACAGTTAGCACAGACTAGATCGGTATACGTGTTTCCAAAACGTAATATACACCCCGGCACGAAAGTCGTATGCAAATTGTATAACGCTATATAATAAATCATGCATACGATATAATATACCTGTTATTCTCCACGCCGTCGTAGCCAAGTAGCGGAAATAGATAAGACTTACGTAAAAACAAAATCCAAGACAGATGTTGATTCAACGTGACAGAAAGACTTATGCCGTACTTTGTTTCTTACCTATTAATTATATCTTGTACGCCCGACACATCTTACATGATTAGGCATTACAAGGTTATATCCTTCGATAACGAGAAGAGTGACCTCGATGAACTGGGAAAAAAAAAATGTTAACGCACGTAAACTGAAACTGGATTCAAAGCAGGCAAATTACTTTCTCGTTTTACTCGCACCGGCAGATTGCATCTACAGCGGCGCGGGCCACAATGACCAGATTAATTTGCTCAGCGGACAATGAACACGCGCAATCGAACCACGCGCATGCGCACAAGGTATACGCGCCGAAGGGTCCTCCAGGTTTATGAGGATCTCGAAGAATCGTTAATATTTATATCGGAATAATAACGAAAATCCATATAGTAGCACATTGATTCAAAGATCAGAATAATAATTTGAATAAACTTTACTGGAGGAAGTCGAAGATAAGATTATGATTTCTTGAAATTAATAAGATTCTTATACTTCCCCCCCGCCGCCGCACTTCCCTGTTACTAGCCAACTCTTCATACCGCTCGCTATATCCGGCGCATGCGCAAGCGAATGATCTCGGATGTATTACAATTTTTCGCGAATTTCATACGTATTTCACTGACAGTTTTACGCACTGATAAGAAAGTGCGAATGATCTTAACGTATGCTCGGGCTTTATCACGCGTCGTTGTGTCTGCGAATATGTAGACATATTCAGTTGCCAGCCGATCGTTCCTCGAACGATCTCAGCGTATACGTAGTTTCTCAATCGCGATCGTACGAGGTAACAGTCGTTTCCGAGACAAAGCCAGTTATGGCCTAAGATCCGTTTCTTACGTAAAGAGTAGAATTAAAAAAAAAATAAAAAAATTGTCTGCCTTCGTGTAACAGGAGGATGACTAGCAGCGGGAAATCAATGGACATCGTCCTGCTCCTGACGGTACTGCTGACGATCTGCATGAGCAGTACCACCTCGTCGAGAGCTTGCAACGACATTAAGATGAAGTGCGCCTACAGGAGTGGATGTGGCGCGGCGCTTCAGCAATATCTTATGGGGTGTTCGGGTGTACTTCACGGGGACGTCAATGATTGCCCAGAGACTTGTCAGCATGCACTTATTGCACTGACGAGCACGGACGAGGGCAAGGAACTCATGACGGTAGGTTTTACGAGGACTAAGGACTAGGCAGTCCGCTGGTATAATAATAAAGTAGACGCAGAACTGGAATGCTCGCGTCGTAATGATAACTAGTCTTGTATACGAGGCATGCTGTCTTTCCTCCCTTATGGGGTAATCGCTTTATGTATTTTTCATCGTGGTTTTTTATTTTCACTCTCCCTTTTTTTTCCACGTTACTCCAGTGCGAGTGCGCGCACAACGACTACGTGTGTCTTCAGTCGAAGCAGAGGGTGGAAGTATGCAGGGCATCCGTCACCATGACTATGAATAGGACCAGAGTGTCCTGCAGGATAGCCACCTGGATATGTATTGCGGATGCACTGTGCTCGAAGGCCATGGATTATTATAATACTTACTGCTGGAAAATGTTTCGCGGCAAGAAATGTACACACAGGTAAAAATTAAGGGTCGATCGTTAATTTTTGGAAAATTTCGTTGGTACGCATTTTGCGTAATTACTTTATGGACAGTTCATTTATTTACGTATGTCCGATAAGGTGTCACAACTCGATTGCCATACTGAGACGTCAGGAGAAAGCTGCCAAATTGAATACGTGCATCTGCGATGGTACAGAGGATTATGACTGCAGGGGTATACGTCGCAATATGAATGCTCTTTGCTTTGGCAAGGTACATCACGATTATCATGAGGTGAAGAAGGTCGTAGGTGATACCAGGACTAACGAGATACTCAGGGACGATGCGAATCTTCGAGGAGACGGGATACGGAATCTGGTGAACAGAGTGACGCTGGCCTTGACCATCGTTATACTCCTGCTCAGTAGGCAAGGTAAATATAAATCGGGTTTTGTATGGAGGAAATTATTATTTTCGGAGGGGTTAAAAAAAAGACTTTCGTATTTCGGATCAGTAGATTTTTATTGAAAAAGAGGACTTAAGATTTAGCAGCCTTTGCATGGCGGTAAAAAAATAATATTAATGTGTAAGGCTCGTCTGGTTATAAGTATAGCTGTAAAAGGGAGATATGTGATATACGAACGAAAGTCTCGTAGGGTGGCTACACTGCGAGATATAAAGTTAAAAGAGATATATGAGTATCGATACCAGAATGACGCAATGAGAATGTCGATTGCGGCGAAGAATAAAAAAAGTATAGCAAACGCAATTCCGTCGGGAAGATTGGAACTGCGTAAATCAAGGCTCGCCCCTTAGAATTAGTGGCCGTATTGTCTGCAGATTAAAAATACTTATAAAAGAAATGGTCGGGACGCACTTGGAACTGAGTAAGACGGAAATAGTCATGTGTCCCGGGAGTTCTGGTTTCTTTCAACGGCGCAAGACACTGCGCCGGGAATATAAGAGACTCTTTTTTACCCCTTTCTTGGTGCGTCCATCCGTTCGTGGATATCCTGCTCTTATTTTGGAGGCCGTCTCACTCTTCTCTTTTTTCTTGCTTTTTTCCTCTTCTTTTATTTCCCCATCCTCTAATTCATCCCTTCCGGTAGAACACCTGCCGCTACCACGAGAATCACTCCCGCCACGTTTATCCATCCCTTTTATCAAGTCTTTCTCCCATTCTTTTTCTCCCTCTCACTTTTTACGACCCATTTGTCATACGGCTTGATCAGCCCGGGCGATCCATGGCCGTAGATTCGCGCTCTTTCAGAATTATACCAAGGATACGAAAATCCATGACGGTGCAACTGGAGTCCAGGTAAAAGAGTTTCCGAAAGTGTATACAAGGCGCGTGTCCTGCGTACACGGAAAGATCTTCAACCATCGCCGATGGCTAATCGGCTCGCGCCAGATGTTTCCTTTTTGGAATGGAAGCTGGAAAGGAAATAAGAGATATAAAAAACAAATAGGGTAGGAACGGAGTCAGTCTTGACAGTTCCGTTTGACAGTGTGCATTGCTGCCAAGCGGAGCGCGTTGCGTTTGACAGAGTGGAACCGATCGAACGCGACTTGTGTGCTCTCGTCCTGACTGACAGCCAAGGTCCAGGCTGTCTAGGTGCTCCTATAGAGCCAAGTGCCATAGCGATACATCGTGAAATTTAAAATTTGAATTTTTCTATTTACATTCCTGCAGTTCATTTGATACTTTCACTTTCAGTAAGACTCTTCTGTGTAATTCTTATTTTATTTTAAACTCTACCGAGTATTAGGCATTGCTACAGTACGATCTGAACTTTGAAAGGATCATAGATCAACTTCTTCCTTATAGTCACAGTCGACTCACTCGGTAAAGAATCCTCTGGCTTCTTTTCTTGGCTCTCTTCATAAACTCACCGTATCATACCTTATGTCCCGTGGATAATTCGTTAATTCCTTTAGTGCGGTCTACATTTCGTACGAGACACATCTATTACAGGCTTAAGGCTCTCCGGGTACAGCCGCGATTAAGAATTTTTCATCTTGGATGGGTTCGCGTATAACTCATGAAGGTTACTATTTTCTCTTTGGCCAAGGAACCATAATAATTATATTCAACACCGAATCCTAACTTACCAACCGGAATTAACTTCGTTTGGCTGTATTTTTTTTTCGCATTGGCAGATTTACCATTCACAAGGAATGCGTGTCAAATATGAAAAGGGAATCAATATTTTTTTTAATTTTTCAGACTGAAAGTGAAAAGCAGCAGCCAGGAGAATCCATTGAACAGTATTCCGCGAGTGAATAACCAAAGATCCTAAAACTTACCAGTTGGTGCGACTTGGGGAAATATGAAAGGAAGGAATCAAGATGGAGGATCAAGAAGGATTGAAATTTGGCAAAAAGCACGAAATTTGTTCAACCGGAACCTCATCCACTGTTACGTTATTACGGGAGGATATCATGAGAAAAATAGCGTTCGAGAATTAAAAATAATTCAAAAAATGAAGAACGTGAAAGCACGAGTTCAGCACTGTACATTGAGTGTATAATAGAGCTATAAATAATGATTATTAATAATTAATAATTTATAACGAGTGATTCGAGCATGCGATTGCGTGTGTGTGATGCGTGTGTAAATAAAGTAAGCGTGTAAATTAGGGAGGCGGTGATTCCTGTCCATCCTAAATCGATGCACACACGAGTTATCGATTACGGTTCGATTTTCAGGATAACAATTATTTTTTATCTCGCGCCCGTCTTTTGGCTGATTTTTGAGTGAGCCGCTTATCGGCAACCGTAGACATTATCAGTAAAGAAAATAAATTAAAAATAAATGTATACTATTAATCGCATGTAGCTACTGTAAAAGTGCCAGAAAATTGATCTCAGCTCCATCGTAAAAATTACCAGATTTTTTTAAATTGAAAATTAAAATCATCGACTTCATCGATATTATTTCGTACGCGCAGCCAGCAAAAAAAGTATCCGACGATGTAAATTATTAAGTATCACCAGGACAATCGCACAATTATTAAGGATACTATAACTATATTACGATAACAGATGCGAAGAGTATTTAATTTAAATAAAAATACTTCTTGCCAAAAATTTTCATCTCGATCCTTAAACAATGACTGTTATACTAAATCACTATAAGATTTTCAAATGCAAAATCAGAGCATTAGGTTTTAAGAAAAACGTTTCTGTTCCCGAAACGGAAAACATTTTCGGTACACCGTGTATAAGATGGCCCGTGTTCTCGGATGTTGTATGGGACGCGAGGGTGTGTAAGAAAGTGAGAGGTAAAGAAGAAGGACAGTGAGGGCTGGCGGACTGTAGGCTTCTATTGAGCATCAGCTGTTGTTGTGGACCAAGTATACGGATCCACCGTGCTTTGGCCACACACGTCGGTTTCTCTTACGAAGCTTTGTTATTACGTATCTAGTACCTAGTGCCTGTAAGCTAGACCTAGTGCTTAATACCTGACGTCACGTTATTCCAGTTTAGAACGATGGTAAAGAATTTCAATTAAAAAACAATACAATTACGTTCCCGATATTAAGGAACTTTTGAACATCCGTGCACGAAGGCAGAATTCATTGAGGTTCAACGAACACAAACACCCCCTACATAAGACCATAAACTAAACCCTCCAAGCAAACACCCTATATATAGGTTAACCAGTAATCCCTCTATGTAACGCAGATCTCGCAGTGGTTCATCAAGATGAATGTACAAGATTCAAAAATTCTTATAAACAGAAACTCGTGCTAGGTACCATACGATTTCCTGTATAATAAAATTCCATTTTCGCGAAAAAGAGCATCTCGTGAACGAAAGAGAAAAATTATAGATCGTGAAGGTGCGTTTCGTCCGGAGGTTCGAAAGAGTGTGCGGTGCCAGAGGAAGCTGGTGAAACTGGCAATCCAAGAGAGAAAAAGAGTGTGTACGTGTGTGAGTGAGAGAGAGAGGGGAGGAAAGTAGACTAAGAAAGAGTTCAGCATAAGATGACATTTGATGGAGAGGGATGAAGTATAGAGGAGAGAAAAATAGTAAGAGAGAAAGCAAAGAAAGTACCCAGAAGCGAGAGAGCACAGTAAAAGAGATATAAACATTGTATACCTGAGAGAGAAAGAGAGAGAGAGGTTGGTGTTGGCCACACACGTAGCAAGAGAACAAGCGATCCGCGGATACGAGAGAAAGAGGAAGGTAGAAAAGAGTGAGAGAGACGAGGAGGGGTAGAAGGGGAGTAAGAGTGAGAGAAACGGAAAGCTGTTGATGCTGGTGGTGGAGTATAGAGAAACGGAGAGCGAGAGAGAGAAAGAGAGAGAGAGACAAGACATCGGAGCCCACAGGCTCTACGCTGGACCACCCACCTCGACTTCGACTAGAGCTCCGCACGTCCTCGCCAAGACAGCAATGTCTTGGCCTCCTCTGCCTTTCCAGCAAGAGCGCTCTGGATCCAGACTCCTGGGCTAATTACGCCCGACTTGGATGTCTGCCGCAATCCAGGAGGGTCCCCTACTCCTCCTTACTTGCCAAGGAGGGATGATCAGAGTGTCGAGCGGAAGTAGGAATATGTATCGACACCAGCGAAGCCGCGAACCAATTACGAATTTCGGGCTAATTATCTTGGCTTCTACGGCGTCCTTAAGTCCCATGGCGCCCCACTGGATACGCAAAGATTTGCTCCGCATCTGCCCCCGATTAATACCCCGTGCCCATATAACTGAGTAATAATTGCTCCGGAAATGGGAAATGTTCCTCGGTGAATTTTTTTATTACCCGCAATTACGTAATAAACGTAGACACGGGCAGACTGACTTTAATCGTTTGTATGGGATACTCGATGATGCTGGATACTCGGAAGACTTCTTCTCCTTTTTATCTTTTACGTAAGGCTCTCACGTGATCGAGGTAGAATCTTGGTCACGGAGGTCCATGTGATAATTACGAATAGGCTCGATCGCTCGTCGTCATCATCATTAGGACGGTACCCGTTTCAAGGAACGGTATCTTCTAAGCCCAGACTGCGTAACGTAGCTCCGCGTTCGGCAAGGGATCGACCAGTGGCTTAATAATAAATTGTTGAACCCGCCAAGACGAGCCGGCCTTTGGATCCGATTGCGACATCGGCTGTAAATTGAGCAGCCTCCAGGAACATCGCGTCGTGATATGATATAAGTAAGCGGTTCGACAGGGTCTTCGTAAATTTTGTATTATTACGAGTCGCTAAGAGGAACAGGGGTGCATCGTACCCGAGCCTGTTAATCTTCCTTTGATGATCAATGAGTGCCTACCTATATTGCCACTTTCTTTGTTGTTTACTCTGCCTCGGTCCACCTCGTGGCATCCCGCAGATGCAACATTGCCGAGGAACTCAAAGATACGCGAGCGTCAGGGCTGCCATCACGAAGAGCGTAATAATGGGCGTTGATTGCTCGTAAGAAAGTGAAGAGGGGACGTTAATGGTGTGAACTCTTCTTGCGCCAGTAGATCCCGTCGGGGACTGAGGTCTAGGAGAATATTTTAGCGAAAACTAAAAGAAGGTCTGTTCACGAGAAACTTCAGATTGGTTTCGGACAACCGACAGTGAGAAGTAAGAGAAACGTTCATGTATCTGGAAATCTCTAAGGGAGAATCTCACGGATGGCTCCCTTGGAAATCCTTGACGCGTAACGTGTCCCGCTGACTCACGGGTATCTTGAAAAAGAAGAAAAAGGAAAAGTAATAAAAAATAAAAAGGACGGAATTAAGTAAAAGTGCCACCGCTGCCTCGCAGAAAGGCGAGTATGATTGAAACCACCTGTATCGCGGAGATGAAAGCGCGAGCGATGGCCTGACCGTTTCAAAATGTCTCGGGAGACTGCAAGAAAGCGGAAGATTACAGCAAAACGACGTTATGGACCCCCCACGCCGACCACGCTCGACTAACAGAAGAGTAGTGAATATCACCTCGTCCCGTTTCATCTCAACGCCTACGATTTGCTCGGCCCTGTGAATCCTTTTTATTATCTACCATGTTTTTTCGATCTTCTCAAGCACAGCGCGAACCCAATACGATTCCCAATGGACGCTGATAAACAGAATACAAACATGTAACGATAGCAAGAATAAGAAAATACCAAGTGAAATGACACCAGGTAACAAGGATGGAGTCTAGTTACATTTTTTTTTATTAATTCCTATAGAGATTACTAGTATGGCTTGCGTGTTATTTTATTCACTTAAAAGTCCTAATTGATCTAATCGCTTTCACATAATCGCTACCTAATTACAATAGAAATCTGGTTTATTTACAGAGAACTACTAGGGTGATTAGCTAATCTAATCGGAACACGTGAAAGTGCATAACTCTAGACAGTCACGTGCATTACCCTTTATCTAGCTATGTACGATGCACTCTGGTAAACACGGCGCTTTCGATCATCGTCCTCCGACAGGATTTATCAATTTACTCGTGATAATCCAGATCGAGCTATCTCGGCATTACTTCACATTAATCACAGTGAAGAAAATCAATATAGATTGAGGGTACACAATATCCAAAACACACGGTACGACGTCGGCCTCCATTATAAGCTAACCAGAATTCCCAGAAGATATTCCGTAGGTTCAAGTAGCGCGGAAACGACTTCAGAAACTCTGAAGAAGTCATTTGATCCTAGAAAGAGCATAGTCACTCTACCCGAGACAAATAACGTCATCCCAGAACCAGTAAGGCAGCCACGTTGCTTTCGATTCGCATCAGGAAGAAGAAGCAGGCGAACAAGATAAACAAGACTGAAGTCTTACAATAATGAAAATTCTTCGTAAAACTTTCTCGCGTGTCAAGACGATTATAAGGACATTTCTATTACGGTAATACGTTCCTTAGAAGGAAGCACGACCATTACCATTACACCAAGACTTAGCAAATGTATCGAAATAGTACATATCGTGGACAATCGTATTCCAAGAAATAACTTAACATACTGATTAAGTAATGTATCTGAATTCTTATAACTGATAATACCAACGTCGAATTCTAATATCAATAGACTGAGTACAGTCTCGCGCCAAGTAAAAATATTCAATATTTGCCGTAATAAATTACCAACGCGTCGATATCCTGATTGGATGTCATTTCCCACGCTAATACCATCCTCCTCGATGATCTAGATGAGGGTGCTCACTTGAGGTCGCGGTAGGTCCTCCGTCCATCGAGAAAAGTGACAGTTTAAAGCACTCTCCCATGGTCGATGGATAAACTCAATGGTAACCGTGCACCCCGTTGTAAGATCCTCAAGTGTTTTGCATTTCGTATTCCGCGCTCTCCGATTACAGCAACAGGGCCATCCTCCATCTTGGCTTTGCGTATGATAAGTGACCTCCCGAGCTTTTGTGAAGTGTTGCACGGTTTCAAATAACAATTCTCTCGTAAGTGGAGCTAGATGCGGGATCCTTGGAACAGGTGATATAATCAATATTAATTGTACACTAAAACTCAACTAACACGATCGACTCTCGAAGAATCTATCTGACGAGTACGCTTGCGTACGACGTGTTATTACGGTTTTGAATACCTGAATGTACTATCTACACATTTTTGATAGTAGGTATTTATCAACAATGGTATCGTAATACGGTGTCGTCGAGAATGATATTACCATGCTGGATTCTTATCCATCCTAATGGCAATGACCGGACGGTTCGGTGAACCGTACTCGCGAACACGTACCTATTCCTTCAAGTGCGAAGGTGCGTGAGATTAAGGTTTCGCAAGCTGTATGCGAAACGACAATGCGTTTTGCATTGTTAGTTACGATAATAGCTTACGAACTTACGACTCAAGTAACGATTGTTTTATTTTTTTCTGATCGGTCACCATACGTACTTTATACCCTTTGTAGATGAATACATGGGTCTGTTTATTAGTAACTTTTTTTTTTTACTTCAATCCTATAATTCATGGTGATGATTGCGACAACGACACATTATTTCTTAATAGCTAGAAACTTTATGACTTAATGTGTTTATAATCAACTAAATTCGATTCGGATATACATATGTATATGAGTACATTTTCTATAATAATTTATGTGAGTTGACGGAATTGATTGAATTGGTGAGAAAAGGTTTCTTAGCGATATTTAGAGGACGTATAACGACTGAATGTGAAATTCAGGAAGTTTGGATATAAAGGAATTAAGTTATTCTGAAATGTAATGACTGATGCATTATTGTAATGAATCAGAATTCTTGAAATAACGTAATCATATATATTGACTGAATGTATATGCACAAGTGCGTGAACTTCTATGATTTCTGGTCTCTCAACATTTATTAATACATGTCTCTCTTATACATGATTGCATAGCTGCGATGATGTGAGTAATTCCGAGTCGACGATAAGTTTAAAATTTAGTTTGCTGTCATCATCTTGCGATTACTTGTTATTAATAAAAGTTACTTCAGTCGGACGATTGTATATTAAAATGAGACTTATTAATCTGATAATAATCATTGCTTTGATCTTCGACACGTAAGCTCACATTGTTTACGCACGATTATCACAATGTAATTCTAATCACGTTTAAGGATTTTAATTCGAATAAAGAAGGAATCGCAGTTCCTCAGGAAGCTCTTAGAAGAAGAAATTAATAGAAATCAATGGCTATAAAAATCCATGAAAAGTTTATTTTCACATACGAAAATCATAAAGTTGAAGAAGTGTAAGGATCTACACAACTAATTCATTTGTGGAAAGTGAGAATGACAGATCTTCCACAGAAATTTATTTGCTGTAATTGTCTACCAGATCTTTTTATATACAAGAAATTCACAGAATGTTTCCGGAAATTCAATAAAGGGGAAATATATCGCAGCTTTGAACCCTTTTTGAAAACTCTTCGAAGATGCCTCGTACTTTATCCGAACTATCAATCAGCTCTTCCGGAACCAAAACGGAATCGATACAATTTTATACAAAATTCTATGTTTGCAATAACTAAGATATCAGAGAAAATGATAAGAATTATCATGTATATCTCGGCAATTAGGAATCACATTGTTTGTATTTTTAGAGACCATTCAATTAAGGTCTACTAACTAATTAACAAATTGATGTTAAATGGCTATACTGATTACTTATAAACACAGTAGTTTCTTCAATGAAATTTATATGAGCAATTTTATGACTTTTGTTTATAGCGTGAATTCTCGACTATTGTGTCGTAAATATATTTTCTTCAGCAAATCTATGATTTCACGCGATCAATGATTTTCTCGCGTAATAGAAAATATTTCGTTGATAATCACATCAAACTTTTTCTACCATAAAATACTATTGGATTAAAGTAATTGCTTCTTTACGAAGGTTACGGAAATCCTGCGTGTACCAAGAAATCATTAGACGCATGATTATTTACCAAGCTGTTTTGTGGATGAACTCATTAGCAAATCGACTGATACTGATAATGCAAATTTGAATTCATAGTTCACTTGATCACTTTAAAACAAGGAAGGTGACATAATGTCGTGCATCGCGTATCTCCAAGTCCAGGCTCTTGCCACTTCCTCGAATCTTTCACGGTCGTTTAAATACATTTCCCCCAATTCTGGTTCCATACATACCTGAGGAATTGACAATTAGAGAATTGACGTAAATTTGAATTAATATTTAACAGCTATAGGTATAACTTATAACACACAAGCAGCGTATTATGGACAAAAATATATTTAATCCATCAACGCCATAGTCAATATACTGCACTCGTCATGCAAGCTAAACAATTATTTTGGCAATTTTGATAACGCATTAATATCAACGTTACAAAAATAAAGTAACTCAATTTGAATATTTATGCCGTATATAAAATTATTAGCAATATAAATTTAATCGAAATAAAGTAGTCATGCTCACTTAGAAAAATATGGTGGAACATTCTTCATGATATACGTTATAGTTAACGATATAAAAAGCTACTTACTTGGCAATAAGGATCTGTAAGTAGACTCTGTACACTAATAAGGACCTTCGATATTGTAAGTGCTAGAGACCAGTTATGATGAATGGAATCAATACCGACATCGCCGTGTCTCGAGACATTTGGATGCAGTATTTTTGTGAGAAATCGTACAACTGGTGGGCTCATGGGATAACTGAAACAAAAGATATACCCAAAAATTGAATATAACTAAAATAATTAAAATACATACCAAATTGTAACGACATTAATTAATAAATACCTGTAGGGTACTTGGAGATATAGATAAAATAGTCCACCTTCGTATGGACTGCCTACAGGTCCTGTAATTGTAGCTTGCCATTGATAACACATCTTGTCCAAGGGGGTGGCTTCGATACCCTCTGGAGGATCAATTCTTAAGGTCTTCAATTCATTACGCAATCGATTTTTTCTCCAAGAATTTTCTTCTATTCTGGGTCGTCGTGTACGCAATGAAGTCTGGGCTAAGCATGTTCTACAGGGTGCTGAGGATGCTAGATAATCGTATACCTTGTACCAGTCACCCACGTGACCAATATGTCTGAATAAAGGCCATCGTAGTTTTACGTGATGTTCCCATTGGTGAGGAGTTAAGTGTGTGGATAATAATCCACACCACCTTCGACACACGTTGGCTGCTGACCAGAGACTCACGTCATCTAGATGTGAAAATACGGCTAGAAGAACTTCTGGTGGTAATGTTTCTACAAGACCCGGTTCATTCACAGGCTCATGTTCTATGTGTTTGTGATTTGTAAGTAGTTCTAATCGTTCTGATAAACTTCGAGGCCTGGATGGTTCACCAACATCTCCATATACTCGACAGTTCCAAGGATAACGATGATATTGATCTGGATTTTCGAAATCATTTCCATCACCTGGTGGTACTGCCTCTTCCGGTGAGAGCAGATCTTCTTCTACGGGGTCGTGGAGTTGATGGTTTGGATTTTGTTGATTTAGATTTCGTGAACGGTCATTTATATAATTGTTTGATGCATTTTCGTGATCAGCATGTACAGCATTAGAACTGCGAATATTTTGTGGAATTCCAGTGGGTTCCTGTCTTGTGCGGTTGAGATTTGCATTGTCTTGGGGTATTGGATAATCCCGCAATGCAGAAGAATTTTGAACTGGTACGTAAGGATGTCCATTTTGGTTTGGGTAATTTTGTATATTTGGAACTACAGAGTTTGGATTCTGTGGAGAATTTTGTTGCTGTTGACTGGTCCGTCGTTCTGCATTATAAAATAAATCTGTAGGTTCATCATTCCCCGAATCTTCGTCATCTGTTTTCTATAATAAATCATACTATAATAATTAGAATACCACATTTGACAAACCTAAATATATATCTCTATCAATCTATAAAACTATGGATCTTGTATGTGATGTAATAATCATTTAATTGCTATTCCTTTCTATATGTATAACATTACACATGGCTAAGATCTGAATCACACAAATTGAAGTTAACTTTTCAATATTAATTAAATAGACAGACTGATATATATATAATCTGATTATCTTTACACAGAACAATATATATAAGTATTTATTGGAACAAATGGTATAAAACTATGAATAAGATAGAAACCTTTTATACATTAAATTAGGAGGTTGTTGTTTAGGCGTATATTTTACACACCTCACTAAAGATTGGTACTTGTAGTAATCCTATGTCATCAGGAAATAAGAATGCATGGCATGTGGCACAAACTGGTTCTTCGAAACAAGGTCCATAATATCCATTGCAAATATAACAAGTTGTTGTCTGTAACAATATAAACACATAAAATTATATATCTAAACACATAGTTTTTAATAGAATCCTTTTTCTAATATATAAAGTTTGTGGAAAATTTTAAAAGTGGAAAGAGACTTCCCAACCTAGAAGTTATAACTGATAGACAAAAAGATACGCTGAAAGAAAATATTTATTAAAATTCATTTCGGAAAACAAAAATTTACGTGTTGTCGCGTGTACAAAATATAAAAAAAGTATAATTAATCAATGGCCATTGACAAATTGTCAAGTATAAAATTGAGTGTTATACAAATGAACTAACCAAAAACTGGAACTCTGGACATGGTACATGCTCAGTAACATCAGAAAACTCATCTTCCAGGTCGACGTATAGATTCGAATCACCATTATCATTAACTTTTTCTCCGTTTCCAACATTTTGTGAATTCGAAGTTGTCTTATCACCGGCCATGTTGCTGCGCCTCTAATATGCTCTAATACAATTGGTATTCCACACCGCGCTCTATGGATGACACAACGTACTAAACTAATCTTTCATAAATTTAGAGTTTTTATTGAATTATTAATTATAATAAAATTCTTTTGTACCGGAAAACGTATTAAACATCTGATGGAATACTACTATGTTAAGTGTTATGTAACGTGTAAGTAATAAATTTGAATGGCATAAATAATCATGAGAAATTTTGCTTCAGATGTGCTCCAAAAAGACTGGCTACTTGTCACATGTGTATTACAATTCATACAACAATTGTACTTTGTTAAGTGATAATTATGCACAGCTATTTAACAGAATAAATGAAGCTTATGGTCATTAAAATTTTATTTATATTAAATCGTGTTGTTATTTTTAAGTATTTGAGTACATAGATATCAATGTGACATATGTACAATTGCACATATCTAATTATTTTATTATTTTTAGGAGATTTATTCTTTATTGATAAAAATTGGGATTAGTATACACTGAGAAGCATGGATTATCAACAACTGCACTTATATCAACAAAGTTTACTCAATCAAGCACTTACCGAGGTACATAATTCATTTTGGCCAGTAGTTACTACTGTCACAATAAAAAACTATTCAATGATATCTCAAAATATTGCATTTTACAAATCTAAAATATTTTGATGAATGATTGTCAATGTTTGATAATAAAGAGAAATGAAATTGTGTTCATTTAAAGAAAAACTTTCTTTGATCTTTATATAACATCTAAATCATTCAGTGTCAGCTGTATAAACCTACGAAATTCTATATTGTTACAGGGAATTAAAAGAAATGAGGAACAGAGTAAAGTATGGTCTGCATATAAAGAGCGACATAAGAAAATTATATCAGGTTTAGAAATCCTACCGTTAGAACTATCAACAAACTGTATGGTCCCTATTGGTAAAAGGGCTTTGATGAAAGGAAAATTAGTACATACAAATGAAATATTAATATGCTTGGGAGAAGGATACTTTGCAAAATACACTGCTGCACAAGCTATTGCATTATGCAATCGCAGAATAAAAAGTATGAAGCCATTCATTTATATTAGTTCAGCATTATTATGGATAATTTTTCATGTAATTTTTATATTTTTTCAATAGAATCTGATGATATGTTGTTAAATTTGGAAAAAGAACGAAATCTGTATGAGATGCGGCAGATTTTACCATTAGAACAAGATGTTTTTGGTGATGGCGATAGAAAAGATCTTGTTGAACACTGGGACGAACAAAAATTGGAAGATTGGAGGGGTAAATGTTTATGGCTATCTACACGGTTTGAAAGTATTTTACAAATGGAACTTATTGTTGCAGTTCAACACAGGCAGCGCGAAAAAGAGTATCATAAAAAATTATCTGAATTGAAAAAGCAAGAGAAAAAAGAAATCAAGACAGAGGAAGATCTTCTCCACAGATTAGATGAATTGGAACTTCAAGAAGAATTGGAAGCTGAAATTGATAGGTTTGTCACATGTAATGAATACACATTTTTCAACCATTGAACCTCATAATTCTACATACAATTCAATTTCATAGGTTGCAGGAGGGGCATATTAACTTTTATGGAGAGGAACTTGAAGAAGGTGAAGTCTATGATGAATCTGAAGAAGAGGAGGAAAGCTCATCGGACGAAGCAACAAATGAAATGTTAGAACGGGAGTTGGAAAAACTACAGGAAATAAGAATACAAAAAAAATTGGCAGTACCTCCTGATTCTTCATTAAATGTAACGGATAAAAAAAAACAAAAAGAAGCAAAAAATATAGACGACACGTTTCTTAATGAATCCCCATCAATCATAATCAATGAAATATTGGGGAAACCACCAGCAGTTTCCAAAGCAGAATTTGAGTCAGTAGAACCAACAAATGAAATACGTGAACAGCGAAGGAATAGAGAACGAAAAGTATCCTTTGTTGAGCCATACGTGCAGGAAAAGAATAATGATGATGATGAGACACCATTAGCTAAGGAACGTCGTGTGTCATTTATAGAACAAAGATTACCTTCAGAAGATGATTCTACTGAAGATTTTATAAATGAAGAAAATGAGAAGGAAGATGATGAAACAATTCAAATTCATTTCAAACATTCAGATATTGATCCACAAATTGCTATTAGTGCAGGAAACGTTATAGAGAATCCAAGAGATGTATATAGGTTGTTTGATAAACCAAAATCAATTTTGAAAAGGTCGCCAAACGATTTGTGCGCAATCAATAATGTGTCGTCACTATTGGAATGCAGCGCAGACCAGGAAATTGAAGAAGATAATGTTTTACCAGGTGCTTCCACATACTCAATAGTAAGTTTCCTATCGAGAAAATTAAATGAAAATAGAATGATTTTTCATAAGCATATTATCATGCAGGTCGTCAAGGACATACAGGAAAGAAAACTTGAAGATCCAAAAACGGAGTTAGATTATCCTACGGACAAACCTAGACGCGTAAGCAAGTTCAAATTGAATCGTTCTGGCATAAAGAACTAATCGCGATTAAAGAAAATAATTCTTTTTAATGAAAAACTATACATTTCATATGTCTGAAATAAATATTAATTTTCTAAAGAAAATCGGAAATACCACTTGCAAACCTTTACCAATTATATTTCATGTATCAAATAAAAATAAGAGCTAATGACAATATTTGATGAATTCCTGAATAATGCCAACTCTTATTCTAATAAAACTAGCGTGTAGTAATCCTTTTTTCTTAACCTTCTAATCTCATAAATAGTACGAACGCAGTATACCATCGAAATTGGTTTGGCAAACTCCCATAGAAAGTCTGGCCAGTGTTAGGCATTTAAGTCCCCTAAAATATAGGACATTTGTGGCCTTCATCAGGATTTAATCTCATCTTCGTTCTCGCCTCGGCGATAGAATGGAATGTGTTCCATAGCGAATAGACGGAAGATTAAATTGTAATGATGCTAGAGAAAATGCTCGGAACAATCAATGCGAGGTGATTGTTTGTGAAATAATAAGATTTCGGGAAACTAATTTCGTTATTATCCTGTGAGATGATAATTTACGTATAATAAATAATAATTGGTAAACAACGTAGAGCGATTATTCTTAAATACTTAAGTACAAGCCAAAGCAAGGATATATAAAAACTTAATTTTCTAATAAGGGTTTATAACTTTAGATTGGAACGTTACAGTCGGATTTATAAAATTCATTTAATTTCTAATGATATATGGATACAAGATATTGGATCTCTCTTTTTGATTAAGTGAATTTTGATACTAATAAAAAAGTATTATACATTTCTCATTTAATTAGCACAAACTTTTGATATCGTTCAAATATTCCAAACTATAAATAATTATCTATATTGATATATTAATATAAAAATGACCATCGTGCATAATAAATCGAATGGAAATGCATTTCACATACTCCCAATTTCGTTGAAATGACCACCTGAGTGATTGCGTTATTCCATATTGATATCATTTACCCTAATGGAGAATATTAATGAACGAGACTCCCAAAAGCATGGTTGCTTTACGATAGAGGACATAAAATAAGCAATCTTGATATTTCTTCGACTAATATGATTACACTAAAACCCTTAAAAGACACGAATACCGTTTCTTTACTCTAACTAATTAAACGTTCTAATAAGCCTACGAGAGTTGTTTTAATATATACCACTGTGTGTATTAGCCTGAGCAATTATACACGTACATGGTACAGTTTCCTTTATAAAGTTTTTCTACAAAACGAAGTCTACTCTGGGGTATTTTCAAGTGGCTGAAACTATGTATATGCGTACTTTAACGCATGTATTTAAAGGGGTGAACTTAAAGTAAGATTAGGCGAAAGCTCATGTATGAATAAATATTTTTCTGGATTATCCTTAAGTCCTAAAAGATTATAATAAACTCACTGAATCTCCTTAAAATACACATAAAGCAACATCAAAATAAACCTTGTTGTATGGGAATAAGGATATACGAAAAACTATTAATAAAACGTCATCTTATAATATCTAATGTCCAATCATCTTTTTAGTAGCTAACATATTTTATGATGTATATAATATAGCAATAAAGAGATTTATTTAAAAAAATTCAATATAGTTCTTCAGAAAAATATTGAAGGAAAAAGGGAAGAATGACTTTAATGTTAAGCAGAATTGAGGAATGGATAAGAATGGTCTCGGATCGCAAATTAAATTGCAACTTGAAGTTTATCTTAGTATATTCAGTTGGTTTTCGAACGTGATGAAATGTACTCAGCAATTTGTGAAATTCTATGACACGCAAAATCAATATTAAATTTCATAAAAATCATAACCTTACAATTTCAATTTTATTATGAAAGAAGGTATCTCTTTAACAACCAATATTCATTTGAAAATGAACTTTCGAAGAATATGAAAATATGACAATGAAATAAGTATAAGAATTAAATTTATGGAATACAATAAAGAAATTAAAAACAATTAATATCTCTATTTAGCTACGTCCATATGGTATATATGGAAATGTCATATGGACTCGGCAAAGCAAAGGAATGTTTGTACATGAATGTGTTTTCTATAACCGAAAATTTCCATACCCAAAATTTTAAGTGAACCACTCAACGAGTGGTATTGAAATTTATACGAGAAATCAAGCTTCGGATATAAATAGAACAGTAATCTCTGAAAACGTACGTCCAGCACTTCCAGTTTGAATATATCACAGCCGCCAAATTAATTATTTTTGTATAGTAACAAACGCATAAGACGATAACACGAGATTTAAGATGTTAAAGAAAATTTATTAGCTCAGATATTTTTGTTATAGGTCAAAAGACAAATGCTGTAACAATTTGCAATTTCTTATATTGGCATATCTATTGTATGATAGACTCTATATATATCGTGTTTACTTATCGTTTTGATTCGCCATGCGACATGGTGCCTGATATAGTATCAATAGAGCTGGAACCAGCAAAGTATACAGTATACATATGTATATAGTACAATAGTGATTTTTGTCCGTTCACCAGTGGACACAAAAAAATGGAGAATGGAACTGCTACCGTACTGAGTATACTGTAGGAAGTATTGACCTGTCTCTTTCATTGTGATATAATACTGTTGGAATTTCGTCTCAGTATATTCTTCTCATTTCGTCTATTAGGAATGTGTACTTTAGTAGAATATTTACTCTATGTATTACACTCTAGTTAATTCGCAATGCACGTACGAGATTGATTGGTTAAATACGAGAAAATAAAAAATACGAATAAAAATTGTATATCATATTAATCTATACACTACGAAATTACCAATGGCTACTATTTGTTGGTCGTCTGATGAATAAATCCATAGCAAGATCTTTAAGTGAACATTGGACGAATTTTGTAGAGTAAAAACTAGACGTCATATGTATTCCGGAAATATTTTTTTACTTTATCTGCACACTTCATAAACGAAGTGTGCGAGTAAATTTGTATAAAAAGTCAACGTGGAACAACGCGAGTATTTTATTTGTTTACTGTACCTAGAGTCTCTCTAGTAAGAGTCCGGCCAACACCCGGAAGGGACGCCATATTAAGGGCTTGTTTGGCGCCACCATGACATTGCGCGCGGATTTTCAAACTATCAATCTTTACCATCAAGAGACTCGATCGAGTCTCGCGCCAAGTACAGGCAACTTTTTCTCCGTTTCCAACATTTTGTGTATTCGAAGTTGTCTTATCACCGGCCATGTTGCTGCGCCTCTAATATGCTCTAATACAATTGGTACTCCACACCCCGCTCTATGGATGACACAACGTACTAAACTAATGTTTCATGAATTTAGAGTTTTTATTGAATTATTAATTATAATAAAATTCTTTTGCACCGGGAAACGTATTAAACATCTGATGGAATACTACTATGTTAAGTGTTATGTAACGTGTAAGTAATAAATTTGAATGGCATACCCGCATGGCATGGCAACCCGCCGTACAGGGCTTAACACTACCCACACTACACAATGCGAATCTCTCTCATATAGGTATTCACACACACCATTCTATTCCGGAAAGAGCCCACAATATGGCGGAGCCAATCACTAACAAGCCCCACCGTTGGCCGGACTCTTACTAGAGGGACTCTAACTATACCTATTGTCAATCCCTTTCCCAATTAAGTTAGTTCAAATCTACATTAATCCCATGGCGAGCCTGTAACGCCGTAACTCCTGTATTCTGCAATTAGTTTGAACGCCAGATTTCCGACCTGAGAGGAAGATATGTTGGATGAGATTGATGTTCTTGTTAGAGGAATCATCATGTTAAAATCTCATGTAACCCTAGCGTATGTTAGCTTTTCGGTTCTATGTATCTTGATAGGTATCTTTGTGTACGCTAAGGAATATAGAAGGCTATTCAACTCAAGGGCACCACCTGAAAGTTGTCCTATCCGTTTAATTTCTATGACAGAATTTACAACAGGTGCTGAATTTGCACTCAATAAATCCATATGCTGCTGACATATACTATTCGTGATGAATCTGATATGGGGGTCGTCTCCAAAATAAAAAATTGCTTGGCGTTCATATATTTTGTTTATATATTATTGCAATGTGTATTAGCGAAACAATTAAATAATAATATAAACAATACATTATTATTTTTAATTAAAATCACCCCACAATTAAGCATGCTGTCGGCTGTTTATCGTACGCAAACAAAATAGGTAACGCTTATAAATGTAACACGTGTTTCCGTGTTAACTAAATGTAACATTTGCTTAATTTTAATTGAAACCGGTAAGTGACATATGGAAATGCTAAGACTACCAGTAGGGATGTCAAATTTTCTACGTATGCACATATACGTATCTGTGAAATATACTTAGGTTTCGTCTTTCAAAAAAAGTTTGACATAATCGACGTAATCAATAGCGATATTTATTCTTTCTTGGGGATGACAATGGAATTGATTTGATCAAAGAGCACATTGTAATATCAAAAAAGTTTTGATACAGCATGGTACACTTAATATTTTGTAGACCAATGAGAAAACGAGTTTCGTAGTCTTTCTGTTTCCAGAACTTGGATATAAAAAAAAAAGATTCTTTTTAAGGAAACTTTACTTTACTTTCTGTTCTCTTCCTATCCTCATTTCTTAATCAAAAACCCTTCCGATGTACAGTTATTGAATTTTTATAATTTCTCATTATTTTTAATGCCTTGGTGGTATACAGTTTTTTAAATCAGATATCCTATGCTATAAGAAATTGGCTCCGTGTTAGACAAAGCAAAATATTTGTACTCGATAAATATTCAAAGTTAAAATTAAGTAATGCCTAGGAGCGTAGGTAAATCTTCTGCATATATGTTTTTGCCTTTTCCTGAATAAGTACTTTTTTTTCTCTATCGAATTACCCGCTGAAATAATAAACGCCGGAGTCGGTCTAGATGAGTTAATCTCATCCAGACGGAACTTTATATTCCTATACGTTTTATCAGACACGTTTTTCTTCTTGAACCCTTATTTTACGAATATACGTATAATTTTCCGTCCTATGGTCTATTTCATAGACGTTTCAGAATATGCTTTTTACTATAAATTCCACGTCTACATATAATATATGTATGTACAACTATAACTATACTATAATACTCCAGTACCAGAAATCGAACTGATATGATATTTTGAAACAAATGAAGAAAAATGATAAATCTCAAATTTACGGCATGGATTGATTGATGGACAGATCACAAAAAAAAGGCTGCCATGTATGAATAGAATTTCAGGAACTTTCTTTTCATCTTCGCTACGAGAGTTCAACAAGCGAATATTATCATAACTGTTTCACGTATTCCCATGCATTGGAAAAATCTACATTTCAACCCAATTATCCACTATTTGTCGTCCGTTTTATTATTTCACAGCGAATCTCTATATTTCTCCTTCTGCGACATAAAATCTCTCATAATGTTTCTGAAGTGGAACGAAAAATCCCATCCGTTTTTTTTACCCAGAGAACCATTACATTTTACTTTTTGCTTTTTTTCCAAATATTTCCTACGCCTGATAAGCTTAGGCCTCGTATTTTGTAGTTCACGGGTGTGTACCGAAATCTACCCTCGTCTACTGCAGAAACGTTCTGTCCCTGTTTGCGACAGAGACAGATCGATACTCTAAAGCAACAAATAAAATTGTTTGAACATAACCTGTATTTCGTACACAATAAGTTCGTGAAAATTAGCTGACTGCAATTTAGAGTCAGACACGAATGTCTATCCTACCTTCAGATGTACAGTGCCATGCAGTCTAAAATTTGACAGCTGTCATCCGACGACTTTCGTTAAGGATTATTTGAAATGATTGAATAAGTAAATTAAATGGTTCATCCAATTGACATCTGATAAACTTACGCAGTTGTTTCCGCATCCTTATTATACAAAAACAGCGAATTAAAAAAAAATTTTAATTTACATAAAATTGCAATTTTGGCAAAACTAGTACGTGAGTCAATATCGTACCGTTTATTATATCGTATCGTATGTTGCGTTGTTTTAGCGGGAACGTTATTGTATAATATCGTTCGGGTAGATATCCCAGTGTGTTCTGCATCATCTCGATCAATTTTCTGTACTTATCATTTGTATTTCATCATCTTGTTCAGATATTTTCTATTTAAAATAAATCGAATCCGTCCCCGGACTTTTGGTTCCGACAGGTTGTCGTTTTCAGTAGTTTTTAGAGTGAACCTCCCTAATTTTCAGATTTTGATTATTGTCTCCCAGACCCAGGACCCCACCGCATAAGAGCTGGCCAGGGTGTCCTTAGAAGACAGCGATGTAACTCTGGTTATACCTAGCGCCCAATAATTCAGTATTTTATTATTTCTCGCGATGACATTTATTTGTGCGTCACCGTTAAAAAGTGTCGTCACAAAAAATTGCATGCAAAACTAGAGAAAAATCTAATAATACGCTGTTCCAGATTTGTGCGAATTTTTAACGAACGTCGCTAATTGTCACTCTCGTTCGGTTGTTCTGTATTTCAATATGGCGCTTAACCAAAGCAATCGCATGACAGCTGTCAGGTCCGATTTGCATGTTTGAGCTGAATGGCTCTGTATGTATTTAGTACTGTCAAATCAAGCGAGTTAATTCTTTAACTATAAATGGGTAAAGTTTTTACCTGTTTTCGTGACTGGTTGACATGTTAATTTTCCAAGCACGATACTTAACAATCTTTTATGAACTTTTTTGAATTAAGATTCGCTGATTGTTAGTCAATGTAAACTGAATTGACTAACAGGATCTCCTGTAAACTTTCTATAAGTATATTCCGAATTGAAATTTTAATTAAATGCCAGGATTTTTAGCCGGCAAGGACGTTTACTTAATAACAGGGAAATACGAGTACACACGTATCCTGCTACGCCGAATCGTGATTACATGAATTTCCAATATTGTATCACGTTTTTAATTTGGTCGATATCCAGTGTCAGGTAAATCTTATCAATATGATATGCAAATGAAAATTTATGTACATTACCGAACTATACATTTAATTACATATTCCTTAATGTTAAAAATGGTCGCAGTGTTTTAACACGTATTAATTTTTTTTTTTTACTTCAGATAGATCTCTAAATATTTTTTAGTCATAAAAATTATATTAGGCAACATTGACCTATGTGAGAAATTGTGTGTTTTATATATGATGCAAAATCTTTTAACTTTTGTCCCAATGAAACGTATTGGGTGAGACATGCGCCTTAAAGCAAAGCGCGCAGAATATTTCAGAGGGTGGCGACGAGTTTCATCCCTCAGTCTGGCGCCGCGTGCAAACACGGAACCACCTCAGACCGAATTGCTGCGAAATCTTACAAACTTAAACACGAACTAAAGTTCGTAGACGGCAATTTTCAAAAGTCTTTTATGAACAGTACCATGAGTGTCCGCGTGAGAGATGCCATATATGCCCAATTCTAAGAGACGTTCTAAGAATATTGAAAAAAAAAAAATGAAATCGAAAACGAAAATAATGACGATTTTATTAAAAAATTATTTGACACTTTGAAAAACTTAAAAAGACAATTTCGAATCTATTCATTTATTTTGTTCGCCTTAATTATCGTTAACGAATTATTCTTGTTATCATAAGCGGGTCCAAATTTTTGAAATTTGCAAAACACGATAACTGATAGCACGAAAATGTTTCGCGTCGGCTCGAAATGTGAAATATATGAGGGATGACAGGAGGTGATTAAACCAGTTTTAGGTTAGCAAATAAATTCTGCAAGCGCAGTGTTTAGGCTCAGATTAATTCAATGTGATTAAGTATTGAGGGTCGTGTCACTTACAAGTTCGATGTTGTATATTCTATATGTATTAATGTCATAATTAAGTAAACGTGATACTTATCAACTGATTGTGATCATCAGTTACCAGCAGTGAAGCTTATTTTGAAACTTTACTGTCAACTAGATATAGCACGAGCCTGTGATACAGTAAAATCCACTACAGTGAAATTTATAGTGTAAAAAGGAATAAATAATCCGTAGAAATAAAAACTTTCAACAATAAATGTCGCTAAAAATGTTAACACCAATTTAACGATAATAATTATTTCGCGTGTAGAATTGATACATCGCGCGATCGCTTATTCGCGTAGGGAATCTTTTTAAAAATCCCGAAGTTCATTCGTTGCTTAAAAGCTGAGGCAACAATTAAAAAGAAAGTGACGTAAAATAACATTACATATACATACAAAAAATATTAATTAAAAAATTGTTAAATATTCAACGATACATTAAATTATTATCGAGTATGTCGTGATCGCGCGAATTCTTAGTCCGTCAAAAATGGTAGATTAGTTTGGTCTTATCGTGAAGATTCCATAAGATGTGTGTCAAGATTTACCGATACGCCGTTATTTTATTTTTACTACTGCAAGAATTCCTCTTATGCACCTGCACCGAGTTGCAGATTGAAAAACCAAAGGAGCTGCTGCGCCATCAGCAGAAGCACCGACCGCCATTCATAGAGCGTAAGTTGATCGACTCGAAGATATTGAAACTTGAAAGTAGCGCAACTGAAATAACCGACCCACTGGGATCAGGATTGCTCGTTGCCGAAGACGATGAATCCGATTCTTACAGACAGCAAGAGAAAGCAAGGATACTATCTAAGGAAAAGTTTGATAAAAGCGAATCGGAAGCGAGCATTGAGAAGCCAACCGCTCAGATAAGACACGGTCGATCCCGGAGTCATTTTTCGAGGCAGATCAAGCTAGACGGTGGCGAAGTGAGTAAGACGACTATGCAGGATCCAGAGGTCAAGAGAGAGCAGCGATTCAACAACATATCCGACCAGCCGGAAGAAACTTTCGAAGGAAACGATACGGTACAGCTTGAACTGGAAGTCACAAATAATACAGAGGAAGAGTTCGCTTCCGGTTTAAACAGAACTTGGGCGCAGGAAGAAGCGGTAAAGAAGTTGAACAAACTTTTAAAAGATATACATCCCGAAGTCGACGGAGGATCATCGAGTAAAGAGGCGATGATCCGTAAGCTTGTAAATACAAAGAAAAAGAGCGACTCGATGAATAAGCTTCGTAAATTTATAACAAAGGACAGAGTGCAGCTGCGACTAAAAGAGAATGAAAATTCGAGCTACGAATACGGAACGATAATTCACACCTCGCAAAACGATCGTAGCAGTGACGAGATATTTGGAAAAACAGCCGCGGATGATTACATGATTTACGACGATGACTTCCGGAACACCTCGATAGACCATGGCGATTACGACGAGGCTATGAGTTACGTAACAAAACGTCCCGACAGACAAAGCGTTCAAGTAGACATTGTCACAAGATTCTTGAGGATAATAGAGAATCAACATCTTCTAGGTGAAAACTGTACAGCCGGTACGGATCTCAATCTCGGCGAAGGCGTCGTGGATCGTTATGCCCAGGAGAAATTTCGGCTGGAAGCGAATCTGGCTGTTAATCGCGCCAATATGTTAACTAGATTATGGAAATACGCACCGGAAGTGATGCTCTCCTCGGAGTATCTGCTTCACGCTAGTATCCTCTCTATGGTCGAGTTTGACGAGGATATATTCGCAGCTGGAAATTGTTACGACAAGCTGCAATATCGTGACAGATGGCTGTACTGTCCGTTCGCGCATCGACTTCAGGGCCAGGATGGGGTCCTTGTCAAGGATCTTGCCATCGAGTACAAGTACCTGAGCAACAGTAGTGAGTGGTTTTACATCGCCAGGAAGAATGCAGAAAGAGTCATAGCCAACAACAACCAGTTCAGTCACGGTGAGTCCTTCGCATTGTTTGCGCCGTATCGATCTTACCAATTGCCTATTACCAGTGTCAAGATCACGTATTACCCAGCACCTGTAATAATACTAAAGTCAAGCGGAAAATATTATAGAGCTTCTGCTGGGCAATGTGGAGACATTTGTTTTGATATCTTACTTTCTCATGTAGTTCGCAGCGTATAAGTGGTCCGGGAAACTTGAAGAAAAATGATAAAGGTTATTGTGCGTCCTCGAGAGCTCTCCTCTGGATATTAGGTTAGGAAGAATATGGGACAATGTCAGATTGTCACGAATTTACCCTGGACTACGTATTAGCTTATACGTGTCCGTGATACAGTGATACAAGTAAATCCATTTTACTGGATATTCAGATGGAATGCTTTTGTGACTGCTCAAAATAAAGAGAGTTGGCTCTTCTGGTATGTTACGGTAAATGTGTAAAGATTGAACGTGAATCGAGACTTGGGATCTTCTTCGTTTGACAACCTTTAGTGCTCGGAGTTGAGATGGGTTCGCAGAGGGTTTTCAATGGTATGCACGTAGTTATGCATCAGGTGTCTGCGGGTAACCCAAACATTTCAGGGTCTATCTGACATATAAGCCGGTTTCGAATGTTCCACGAGTTTCAGAGTTACCTAAATTATTTGTACTAAGTAATAGCTGATTGATTTACGTTACTTGTGAAATAGACGTACGGTTGCTGATATAAAGGTAAATATGAATTATGAATTATTATAGATTAGGTTAGGTTTAATATTTCCATGGACGGTGTCGGAGTGCATCCAATGACATTGCTGAAATTGAATTGCATTTTTTCGGCAGTATTTTCAGTTCACTTGTAAAAAGATTATGAATGCAGTTTATACATAGCTTCTTCGATACCTGCACCGGAATTGGTTCTGTCCTCCTGACCTTTCATTGACCCGCACTGCTATTGCTGTAAGTCTAACCGAAGTATTATTTTATCGATCATTATACGAAATTAGAATGATTTAATCATTGACTAACTCGTCCGTAGTCCTTTAAATTATTTGAACCATAAAATATAGTATATCATAATGATGATAACCATATGAAATATATCATTATATCATCGTAATCAAATATAATTGATTTTATTTCACTACGAATAGTCGTACAACATTTTAATTCGTTACTAAATTCGATTGCAATAGGTATCCAGATTCCAAGTGAAATATCCAATTTGATCTCAACGTATTTTAATAAAATAAATATGTATATCAATGGACTGTCAATTGTACAGTTTTTAGATTAATGGAAATTTTGATATGCTAGGAGAGTGGTTTTTGCGACTATACTCCATATGTAATATATCTGTTCGACTTGACCTAGATCGTAATAATGACTGAAGATTACATCGAGTTCTCACAATGAGATATCCAGCAGAGCCTTCTATCTGGATACTTAGAAAATTTAAAGGCAGCTACCAAATTATTACATCAATTTTTATGAATCCATGGAAACAGTTTGTGTTCAATGTTATGAGAGACGGAAGGGCAATGCAGTGGAACGATAAGAGAACCGAATGAATGCTGAACTGGAATATTGCCACGTTGGGAAATTGAAAATATGATTGACAAGCTTTTAGGATTGGGGCAAAACAGTTTCAGCGAAAGGGATGAAATTGAATTCCAATCTAGAGGGGATAATAATCTTTGGGCAAGTAATTCCCACATGACCTCACTGAAGGAATGGACACCAAAAGGGTCCGATTAACTTGGTACGTGAACTGTATCAGGTATCACACAATTTGCTATTTTTTTGCTGATCTAATCATTCTCGAACAATCAATGTAAATATTATGAATTTCCGTCATGATAAGTCATAAGTAAGCGTACCACATTCGATTTCTGTAAACTGCATCATGTATTGCGAGCAATTAATACTCACTTGTTAGGGTCATGTAAACTTTGGATCAAGTATAAGGCACGACAATACTATTATTACGTATAGACAGATTGCAATGTGGAAGCTATAATTGCAGCTAACAATTGGTATAATTAGATAGATATAAGATAGTCTGCGAAATACGTTACGTGATATCAGGCGAGAGCGTGAATGCTATAATGACATAAATATATTAAATTCTATTTTTCATTTATCTAGTGCTATTTCATTATACGCATACTGGATAGATATGGTAAATACAACGTTTACCAATATGCCTCACAGAAAATAAGTATTTTTAACCACTTTTGAAAATTGTTTTTGTAATTTTATGATCCTTATACAGTGAGTTTAATCTACGAAAGTGCTACAATTCTAACGAGTATAGCAACCACCTTCTCATCAAACGATATACTACAGTTTTGTACCGTAGTAGTTTATAAAAGTTTTAAAACTTCCTTATGTATATAGTTAAGCAGGTATAATACAAATACCTAATATCCACTTTTTACCATTAAAAATACTCAACTCAGTTCTGACATCTTGTTACCGACATAGATTGCCGTGTAGAATTATTAAAAGCTCGAAATATGGTTTTTCGAGTATTTTTAAATAGTAATAGTATCTTTATATAAGATATGTTTTACAAAGTACTGCATTCGTTCAGTATTATCATTACTCGTTTTACTAAAAAATGTAATTCTAAATTATTCTAAATTAAATAATTTACTGACCTCTGTGTATCTAGCTACTAAGCGTTTCCTCATTTCCAAACCGTTGCATCTTCGTTTTTTTCTGCCAAAAAAATTTGCCAAGTACATACCTTTCCAAAAGCTTATCCCGCATCGCATTTCCTCACCAATCGGGTTATTGATGATTGATAATCATCCAATCGATATACAATAATTTATGCCAAAACGAGGAGTTAATACGTATCGTATAATGAACTGCAATCTATCATGTAACACCATCAAAGCTTCGTAGTATATGTATATAATTTATAGCTACTCACAAGCTTTGAAGGATAAACGGTTAGCGCCACAAGCGCTCCAGCGTCATTCAATCGAACTCACTGATACTACCATTAGCGCCACTAGTCTGAAATAAACTTCTTTTGCGAGTAGAGTGTGCAATCTATGTGTATTCTATTTTGCTAGCAGGAAGAAAGTAATACATATCTTTCTTCACGTGTGACGTTCGCCTCCCTTTAGGCAAAATGCAAAATAGGGATAGCAAGACTACGAGAAATACGAAAAATACAGTGCCTGGACGGATAACACGAGTGAAAGAAACTTCCCACTTAAGGCAGTTTCCGGAGTGTTTTCCATTCAAACTTTTACCTTTTGGGGTTATGTGTGAATAAGATTTCCTTAAGGATTCATAAGCTCACTTTTTGCATTGCCGGGAGCGTGAAAGATGTGTTTCGCATGTGAACTTTCATACCGTGCAGCAACCATTATCGCCTCATTACCGGCGTTCTCGAGGTTAGTAAGGAACTTCTCGAAAATTCCGAACGTGCCCGCGGATATTAATCCATCGACTGCTGGGAAAATCGCCTGGAAATTGCCACTGTCCCATTTCCTATTCTCTCTCGATGTCTATAGCTATATCACCAAGTAATAACAGTTAAGGCCAATATCCACGCATATTGGATGCACTCGATCTAGCTGTACTTAGCGCATTGTGTGTCTGACAATAAGCGCAGGGTCATGGAAATCGTTAAATCAATGTATTCTAAATTTTACAACCCACGTCGTCATCGTTCACGTTCCCATTATGTGATCGCATTAATATTTTACTTCAATTGCATTTCAGTTGTAGATTAAAGACCTACATGGGCAGTTTTATACAGAAATTGACTGATAACTCCGTTGGATATTACCTCGTGAACGTGCAACGCACCTAACAAACACTCTGAATATCCCATTTCCACACTGTCGTTAGGAACATTTCGCACCCATAGCCACATTTAAAGCCAATATATTGGCTTCAATTCCTTCACGCCTTCGTTCCTATATTTCAATCAGTTTCGATCCCCATCCGCGATCCTGATTCGTGCAATAAATTTCAATCGGTCTACTGTCGTCGTTACGTCACGTGCAGGAAACCGGTGAAACGGTGAGAATACTGGAAAAAAGGGGTCGTTACTATTGAACGAAAGATTACTTGGTTTCTTTTGCAAATAAAAATATCTTACTGCTCCAAGCATTTGACCCGCTCGCCATGTGAAGTTTACAATCCTTAAAAATTTACGAGTCCCGATCGATTTCACTCTTGGAATGACCATCACTTACGTGATATTAGAAACATACCTATCTTATCTACAGACTGGTGGGAAAGTCGGAGTTTTTACTGGGATTCACGGAGTCACTATTACGATTATGTGTCCATTTAACTGTTATTGAAAATGACCTGTCGAATTTAACCCCCTTGAGCGTTATCCCGAGTATACTCGGGGTAAATGCATGCTATTGAAGTATACATATACTATACTATAAAATAAAACTGCAAGGTGGTTAATACAAAGTGTAAATCGTGGTTTCGATATATTCATATCAAGTGTAAATTTTGTGTTTAAATTACTTGTAATAGACTTATCGTTAGACATTAGTACCAGGCATATTCGTAATTGAAAACTTGCATTCAGAGTCTCTTAGTTGGAGTAACTTTTAAGTAAAACTATTTTCTGTCTTTATTCATTGTCTCAAATTAATTGAGTATATTGCAATAGTTAACTTTGATGGGATGAGCTTCGATTGAAGTTTGCAAGGTGAAATAAAAAAAAGAAGTTCATTCGTTTATTCGTCGATATTCGACCGTGCGCGTGAGGAGACTTTAAGATTTTATGAGCCAAGATTCACTAGCGCGTAAGAGACTGGCTCGGTTTTCATAGAAATATTTATGAGGATCGTTATATGGCCATTTGATGGCTCGTTGAAAAGTGATTAGGATGATGAATTTTTGGCTTAATGGATTTCGAAAGTTCAGATTCATGTAGAGGCAGATACCGATTATATAACGACATACTAATAACTGCTATGATAATAGTACCTTCTTTTAAGGACTTAACTTAAGCATATTGCCAAA